ACATGACTTTTATGAGATTAAGCTGGCATTAATCTCATAAAGCAGGTTCTTACACAGGTGTATAACTGGTTAACTCTAAACACTTTAACAAACCAGGTATTTGTGTGAAAGGATGCTGAACAAAGACTGGCCCCTGTATGAAAACTGTGGGGCCTTGATGGCCCCTGACTCAGATCTGGCCCTGCATGGTGGGGACCACCTCCAATCAATAAGTGTTTCTGAGCAGCTGCAGCTTCCTGGTCTGATCCCTGACTGATCAAACCTTTTATAGTCCAGCTGCAGACACACACTGACCACGCCCACATCTTTTTAAACACCTCACTAACCTCAGCACTAAACTATGACGCTTTATTCAAACGATGTGTTTAACTAAATGAAAGTGATGTCAGTGTTTTCATGCTGTAGACAACAAATGATGCTGAGAGCTAAAGGTCTGTTTGTGCTCTCAGTCTGACAGCAGAACATCTCAAACTGCTGGATTTCAACTAACAACTCAGATCCAAACGTTCAGCTGCTTCACGACTCAGCCTGATGTTTGCTTTTACACATATTTGTATTTTTTTTGAGTCGTTTCGATTTTCTACCATTTTTGTTCTCATTGAAAACGAATGCAGCTGTCTGAAAATCCCTTCAAAATAATTAAATCTTTATAAATCATTTGCTCTGGTTCTAATTTTAAAAAGCGTTGTCAGCATTTTGAGATTATGTTTAATATTTTTATTAAGCACTCACATTGCATTTTTACAGAAAGAAAAAGACATTTAGCTACCAGCCAGGTTTTAGAGTAAGACCACTTCATACAGGCTGCTGCAGCGCGTTCATTTAACTAATATTTTCTGGATGTTTGCTGTGGAAGGAGCTGAGACACATGCCCACCTGATCTGTGTCAAATGTTGTCATTAAATATGTGAAGTCACTTCTGTCTGTTAGCAAAATATCTGCTGAAGCACTGATTGTAATGAGACTGTCAGGAAGGATGACATCATAAGATTACATTTCAGGCTCAATCCATCCCGACAGGATTCTGATAATTACTGTCCTGTCTTTTTAGGATTCTGTCATTGAATTTAAAATAATTTTTTCTAAAATGTGTACAACTTTTAAGTTTCAACATTTGATAAGTTTATTTTATTTAATTATGAAGAAAATATGAGAAAAGGTTGTTTTCCCACCAACATTTTGAAAAGTGAGTGTAGTGTCTAAGAGTGGGGGGTTGTCTCAGGAGTGCACAGATGTGGGGCCCCTGAGCCTCCAGCTTCAGAGCTCAGCACATATCACCATATTAGGAAAGAAGAACACTTGAGGTATACCGTGACAAGATTTATGTACATCTGTGGAAATGTATAAAGAGCCCTGTACGCCCCCGCTCCTGGCCTTCATTTCTCCATCTTTCTTACTTGGTGAATCATTTGGCTTGGAGGCCACAATTTGTTTTTTTTAGGCTGTAATTCTCCTGAACTGCGAAATAAAGGTTCTTGCTGTTCAAACCAGCCTTGTTTTCAGTCATTTTTCATCGAGCAAACAGCAGTTCAACTTCAGCCAGAAGACGTGGTTTTCTACACCTCATGAGGTTGTTGTTTTACCACAAGTTTTCTGTCAAACCTTTCCACAGAATCAACTAAAACAATGTTTGTGACAGGTTCTGGTGCTAACAGACTCTACAGGTCCAAATAAAGACAGATATTTTATTTTGAAACGCTGCTTCATCACGTGAGTGTTTTTAAAGTTACGAATTAAATACGAAGGGATAAGAAACAACCTCACAATAAACAGTCAGCTGGTAACAAACTGCAGCTGTATCAAAAAATTATATTAAACAGCAAATTGGCTTTAAATTATTTCAACACGGAACTTGCAGATCAGCAGAAAAGGAACAACATATCTAACACTAATTACTTCTTAGAAGAACCATAATGTTAGTTTTTCTTATTGCCATGTTTTAGTTTAGTGTTTTCATTTTATAAAAGATGAGTGACAAAAACAGAAGTATGTGTAAAGGTTTTAATATGAAGGACGTCTTCAGGAACATTAAAGTCTGTGTTTGTTTGCACTTCCTGTGTGGAGCAGAGCCCTCAGTGACTCACAGCTGCACAAACTGTTTCTGTTCCTCACTTCTATAAATCACTAACAGAGCACACACGCCAGACGACACACACAGTCTGTGTTGGTTTGTTTCCTCAGCAGTGAGCTCATTTCTGCACCATCTGTGTGAAGCGGTTGGTGATGCTCAGGGTGGTATCGATGAACCTCTCCACACAGTTCACCAGGCACGTCTCAGTCCGGTGGTCCAGCCTGGAGCCAGGACTGTCCACACACTTGTCCCAGCACACGTCAGTGAAGTTGTGCACCTGGAACACACACACAAACACAGTGTTTGGGACCACTTAGAGTCCTGTGAGGTGGTCTCCCTGCTTCCTGTTGGCACCGGACATGGACTTAATAAGTTATTTAGTTATTAGTCGTGGTCAGTGAGCCGGGTCCGGACTATAATAAATGAAACAACAGGAAGAACGGAACCAGCTGTAGAAAAAAATAACTCTTAACTTTAGCTTTTCTACTGCACTAATTACCTGATTAGTGCTTTAGGGCTTTTGCTCGTTTTAGAATTTATTAGTGGATTAGCACTTGCTACATTTAGCAGGTCTGCCTGAGGTCTATAAATGTTATTGATCAACGTTAACGTTAGGCCATAAATCCTTTTAATTAATTAATTTGAATTTATCATTTCTAAAGATTTAATTGTTTTTTTCCCACCAGTGTTTGGGTCTTCTGTAGTCCAGAGGTCAGCCCACCTGACCCTCAGGACCCTTGGTACATTAACATGACAGTATAACAGCTAACAGACAGGGTCTACTTCTCAAAAACACACAGTTTCTTCAGTTTTCTGGAACTGGTTAGGTTCACAACCCCAGACTGGAGCAACAAACACGTCACTGTTAAATCTGTTTGAGGCTCTTCATACAGAAAACTGGTTTGTTTCAACACCTGAAACAGACTCTGTGTTAAGTGTGAAACAAATGGCCCAGCCTTCGTTAACGTTAACAGCTGATGGTGAAAGCTGTCAATCATTTTGTTCATGTCACTGATCCACCTGGTGATAATATATTTATAATCAATGTGAGCCATCACATCGAAATGAGGATCAAGTCAAATTAGGTCAAAATGACCTACAGTTGTGGTCAAAAGTTTACATACACTTGTAAAGAAACATAATGTTATGCTGTCTTGAGTTTTCAATAAGTTCTACAA